AGCCTGAGCTAATCAGAGTAAGACGCGTCTTGATGAGATAAATAGAAAAGAGTATAGGCTAAAAACGAATTATGGAAAGGAGTGCCTTATGGGAGAAATATTTGAAAAACATGCATAGAATCAAAGGGAGTCATATGCTATAAAATCATTTCCCATCAGCATCTTATACCGAATGAAACTTAAAATCTTGATTCAACTGCGAGGCTCAAATTCGATCTCTCAGGATAACAAGATTTACCAAGGCGTTGTTTTGTTTTATCTTTCTCAGTAAGTAACGGAAACCTTCATGAAAATTTTCCAATCAGTTTAAGTCAATCATCAAGAAACGTTTGATATACACTCGGAAATCAGGGCGTTACGCGGGGCACTGGCATTGTGGAGAAACCCGGATACCACTTTCTTGGTTTAACATCAGGAAATTTCTTTAATGAATTGACCAAATTTCTAAGACCAAAGAAAGTGGACTCCCACGTTGCCATATGCTCCCCCTTTTTGTCGAGGAAAAGTAACACTATCTATTTAGAATCAATAAAACAATCCTACATGCTCCATAATGGTAGAGAAACCCTTGAGAAGGACTTACCTTCCCCTCCCCTAATGAAAAGTTCAGTCTACCCTTGATATAGCTAAGTCTTCATGTCAATTTAATAATGCAGTGCTCTCCACTGAAGTTAGTTCCGTCTTTGAAAATTTAGTGGTGGAATTGTAGTGTCACTCTCCTGAGCAGAACGAAAGCTGTTCGAATTATCCCGTTTGCAGCATCGTTGAGCTGACCAACATGACGGAAGTAGTAGGCGCTTGTTGGCCATCTTCCTCACATCGGCACCTGAACACATCCACGAAAGCCTTGCGAAACTTGTCACTGAAGAAGCTGTAGATGAAAGGATTACACGCCATGGAGCACAGAGCGAGCACTGAGTAGAAGTTCACGAACACACTGAAGCCAACCGTCTGAAAGGGGAGTTCCACGAACGCTTGGAGCAGTATAGTTACTTGAAAAGGTAACATGCATGTCAAGAACGTGGCGATCACTGTTAGAAGCATATACGTCGTCTTGCGCTTCTTTTTTGCTCTGCGAATTGCGTAAGCGCGGTTTGCATTGTACGATGGTTGGTTATTCGTTGAAGACAAACCACGAACGCTGCATGCGGTCGTGGCGTCGTCGCTTAAGGACGGCTCCGGTTGCCATAGTGTTCGTATGATCATGATGTAACTTGAGCCAATCACCAAAATAGGGAGGACAAACAAAAGAATGAAAGCCACCACTGTGTATATTCGGTTCCCTAATATCCCGCCTTTGCCCGTCCAGTCTTCGACGCACCGTTTGTTTTGGATCGTGACCACAAAAGCCTGGGGAGAAGCAATGGCACAGGACACCAGCCAAGTTAGAACCACTAAAATCACAGTTCGTCTGACTTTTTTTCGTGAGGCACGGACCGTGAAGGGATTCACGATGGCTTGATATCTATGGAAAAACATCAACAAAAAAAAAAAGGAGTAAGGCCGATTTATCATATGACGTGATATTTTGTGGAGTTGATGCACTTTGCATCAGGCTCTTGTAGCTGTAATTTTCCTGTTGCATTAGTTTTTGTTTTTACGACAAGAAATCAGAAAGGATTCACAATTAAAGTACTTAGGGCAGATAAGTGGGCCAATTTAAAATCCAATTTTCTTCCCTCCCTTTTGTTTACCTTTCCACTGCCAGTACCATCATCGTGTAAACGGACACCGACACAGATATTGAAGAAATCACTCTCACTGCTCGGCACATGAATCCTCCAAGAGGCCATTCGTTAGGCGAGATCTGGTCAGACATCAGCGATGGAATGGCGAACAAAGCTGACAGCAAGTCTGAGATGGACATGTTGAGGAGGAACAGATTGGTCAAAGTGCGCATGTCTTTCCTCCTGGTGATTACGATGCAAACAAATCCATTACCTGAGGATGACAATTTAATGTTTAGTTAAACAAAAAGGGATTAGAGAAGATAAGATAATACATTGGAGGATCAGATACATTCCTCTCAACAAACGCAGGTTCAGGGCAAATGTTGTCGTTAAAAATGATATGGATTAATTCAAACACAGTGGTGATCTTAACTGCATTAGTTTATGGGTGCTATAGAGAAGATTTATCCTTAAACTCCCAGGATCTAGGGAAATATTTTTTTTCGTCTTGTCACGAGCGTGGAACCAAGGAAAAATTTAGAGTCTTCATGAGTCGTGAGGAGTCGAACCTAACACCTTTGTAAATTTGCCTTCCAACTGTTACACGTTTCTTTGAAATCAGTTAGGATAACTTTGTGTTATATCAATATAGATCGCCTGGCTGATTTTTTCTTTTAACAATATTAGCACTTTTTGCTACATGATTGATCCGCGATATTGCACAGGCTGTTTTTAGGAGAAGTTACAAGTTCGTCATGTTTGGGAATAAAACCGGGGTAGGATGTCTTCGAGATATCATCATAAAACGTGAACGATTCCGGTGACCGGTCGAGGCGAGGATAGTATGTTGCCTTAGAGTTGGTTTGTTGAAACTACCGTGGAATAAGCCTATACACACATATTTGTATGAAGAGACTCTCTACGACGCTACCCAAAATCGAGTTAATTCTCAATTTATCTCCAAGGCTGAGCGAGAGAAAATAATTAAATTTCAACCGTCCTTGTGAACGACTTCCTTACTTTAAAATAAACAGCGCCCTCGAATTCAACAGTCCTCTCGTTTTCGTAACTCACAGCGACTAATTTATCACGGAATTCCAAGCCCTTCCATACTTTTGCATCTGATATGAAAGCAGTCGCATTTATAAGTTCCTATTGACCATTAAATAATTTCTGCATGGAGTTAAATGATCTGTTCAAATTTGTAAGAGGATTCAGAAACCTCGTTGTAAGGGAAACAAAGAAATGTAGCAAATTAAAGCACTTCAAATGAATGACAATTCGCGTTTTTTCTTCTGGTTGATTTTGCTCGGCCTTGCTTTTTTTTCCATCTAACACAAACCTAAAGTGGTTAGCACTTCCATATTAAAAACCGTGCTGTGGCTTCATCATTTTTCTGGAACCAGAGCCTCTCGTTCAATACGTTCGTGTCTGGTCTTACGCAATAAATTAGAACATCCTTGTAAAGGTATTTGTTTTCTCACCTACAACGGCTACTAAAAATATGATTCCATATATCACGGAAAAGACAGCCACTTTTTCCACTGGAGAAACAGAAACTTCATCCTGACTGTTGTCCGCACAACGGGGATCTTCGCTCAAGGAATCGTTGGTTTGCGTGGCGCAGTCTTCACTGGACATTTTTACTTTGGAGTATTCACTGTCGTTTCAGTTTGAAGAATGTCTGCTTTTCCGCTAAAGTCAACTTTACACTTAGAGACCAAGCTATTTGAAAGCAATTCCCAGGTAAATATTTTCAGAACCTTATGGATGCTTTTTCCTTTAGCAATACTGAAATATCAGAACCATTTTCAACCTGTTTGGTTGTTTTTAGAAGGCGCCCACTGAGAAAAAGTAATGGCACGTCCTGTCGAACTGTGCAAACGGGGAGAACACAGCTTTTGTGTCTAATCGTCAAACCTTTCTAATTAAATGTTTAGTGGCCAAATAGATTCATTGTACTTATTTCTCCCTTTTTACTGTGGTTCTTTTGTTCTTGGCTGTCAAACGCTGTCGAAACAAATTGAATGCTTCATTTTTTTTGAAGAGAGTGATTTCCGCAATGACGTGATCAAAACCAAAATTAAACAACTTCGTCAGCGCAAACTATGTTCCTGATGCTGGAACAATAGGAAAAACAAGCAAAAAAGCCTCAGAATTGTTGTGAAAAAACATGAATATTTTGTATTTTCTCCAAACAAAGGTAAAGATAATGGGAAAAGACTTAGAACAAACCTTTCCTTTGTCTTTATCTTTGAGTTGGTCAACTGATTTAGGTAGCCGCTCTGTGGCTCCGCTCTCCCGTAGCCAAAAGGGGAGAGTCGTAAGATCGCAGAGTTTAGCGAGAGACGACTGGGGACGAGATACCGAAAACTTGCGCGCCGTCGTTGTGGAAAAAAAAGGGGGAGAAAATTGATAAAATAAATGATAATAAAGAAGTGCAGGAAACAGCATGTTAGAGCCTATTAGTAAACCAAAGTCAAATAGAGAATTACGACGGATAATTTTGTAATGTTTATTTCGGACTGTAAAGACAAAACAACTTCCGATAACTTTGTGTTCAAACAAATTTAGCAGCCAAAGAATAACGACATTTTAGGTTCTAATTTACAAGGTCGATAGTAGTTTTCGATGTAAAAGTCAAGTGTCCGGAAATCAAATTATAGACATAATTGTATGAAATTGAAATAAAGAAGAAGGGCTCCTGATAAAAGTTGTTATTCGGTAAAATGAACAGCAGGTTTACGAGTAATTTGCCTGAATTAAAGTTTGACATTAGGAGAAGCTCGTTTCTTGTCAAAATACCCTTTGATTACTGCAATTATCGTCTGCATTTTCCTGGAGAGGCTGTCGGGAAGTTGTGGGATCAATTCCCCCAATTAATCAAAATTAAGGCCATGGACATTGGAGGGGCTTATAAGTTTTTGTCGTGCCAAACTCCATTTTCAAATTCAAATTTCATATTTATTAGTAAGAGATCTTCCCAAAATCCATAATGTTCATCGAATCTTGATCATTGACCTCGTGACCCAAGTTACAACCCAGGAAACCGGGAATGAAATTTAAACCAATCAAAGTGAAGAATGATCGGCATTGAACCAATCAAAGCATCCAGTCATTCGGCATTGTTTGGTGAATGCTCACTAAGGCATGAAAGACATATTTGGTTGGCGCCATTTTGTATATTTTGTAGTGGATGTAGTTCACTGATTTCAGCTGGAATTTTGTTATATTTCTCCATTATGGCTGTGGAAGGTGGTTACCTAACTGAACTTCTAACCGAAAAGGACAACTTAGATCCATCCTTCGTACATTCAATGCGCTTGTTAACCGAAGGTAGGCGATGTATCTTCTCTAAAATCACTTCTGCAACGTCACGTAAAGTCGGAGCTTAAAAGATCGAGTGTAATGTTAGCATTCCTTCGCGGTCAAGAACCACCAGTTGCTTGCAAAAGTATCATATCTTGGTATTCAGGGCAAATCGATCTTTTTGGATTGATGAGTTGTTGACGAAGTATCATCTCTGTATTTGTTCTCATCCCGTGAAAAGTCCTCGTTTTGAAGCGTTGTTGTTGGGAGCCGAGTGGTGAAACGAAGAATGTGCACTCTCCAAAGAATTGTGCTCCTGCTTTTATAAGATCTCCTTTCTCCCACATTGTATCTTGATTATCAAAATGTTTCTTAAAGCCTTTCACTAGTGATTATGGCTACATGTAGCTATGGTGAGGGAAAAAACCTCCAGAGTAGAATTTCCTTTCGATAACGCCGCTTTTGCATCGGAGCGGTTACGTGCGTCACCTCAAATCCTTTGGATCTTTTCAACGAGATTGCACTCACGTAGAGCAGTCGAGGATCTGGTATGCAATTGTGATTGCTGTTGTTAGTCCCGAAAGTAGATCACTTTCGCTCTCTCTAGTTATATTAGGATGATAGTTATTGTATCTCAAGGCTCGGGTGGAACTGATTGCCGGTATCAATCACTGCTCATTTGCACTTAAGTTCATGTATTTTTATCTCGTGAATATATTTACGCAACCCCGTTCTAAACTTGACACTATAATAACCCTTTACCCTAGCTTTAGTTCTACATGTAGCATTCACCGTCAAATCATCTCAGTGACTTTTCAGATTTCAGCTTAGTGATATTCTTTTAATACACAGTAACACCTCTGTAATTTTCATACGCTATCTTTGAACTGCCCTATTTTAAAACTTTGTGTGAGAAATACAACAGTCGCATACCAACGAAGCTTTGATATCACATGTGCAGACATATGAGCAGCAGTATGAGGGCAATACAAGACCAGTTTACCAAAACAATTCAACATCAAACTCTGGCCCCTTTATGTTTCCAGCAAAGTTTTTGCTTTTAATTTTTTAAACCCTTTCTATTTTTTATGTGGGGTAGATATTTTTTAAAGCATCAGAGAGAACTTGCACCTCTACATCTAGTTGAGTGCACTCTTTGGTTTCTTATCAAAAGTTCATCAAGCAAGCTGCTGTGTAATTTTTCTTATATTGCTTATTGAGAATTCCTTTGTTGCTGTATATTGTATAGCTGCCTGTATTTTTCTTTTTCTTTTTTTTTTTTTTAGCAGCATTATCTTCCTATAAGTAGAGGACATAAAGGTTGTATTACAAACCATGAAAGGTTTTAACATGATTTTTGCAGAATTGGTAGCACTTTGTCAGGCAATAAGGTGCATAGTGTGGGCAAAAATGGAGATTTTGGCAGCCTAAAATATATTTTAGCCCAGTTGTTCGCTTGTGTGATTGTTCAAATTGCTTTTTGTCATTTTTTTAAGTTTTTATTTTCTCAATGCCCTCCTAAGTGACAATGATAACTATGTTTTAGGTCCTTCTCAGAGTCATATAAACCTTTGCCTAGCAGCTTGGGTGAAATGACTCTGAGTCTGGCCCAAAACATCTTTATCCCCACAAATATAAGCACTGTTGTTTTATTGCTCACTTCATAGGAATGTACTATGAGCAAAAGCTCTGCCATTTTTAAGATCCTACATTGTTCTTCAGCCAATAAGAAGTAAATTTATTTTGAATTATTTTACAGAAATCAATAAAGTACAAACTGGGGGAGCACTACCAGCAGTGCAAGCATTAAAAAAACCCAAAATTGAGAAAACAACCAATGGAAATACTTTATCACCTGTGTCAGAGAATGTACCTCCCAGCAGCCAAGTACCTGCAGCTGAAAGCCCAGAGGTGCCAGTGGCTACCAGACCTCCCCCTCAGACGCATCACTTCCGTAGACCTGCAGATGTCTTTGACAGTAAGCTTTATCAGCCCACTAAATTGATGGAAAAGGTCTTTATTCCAGTAAAAGAATACCCCAAGGTGAATATTTACTTTCTTCCTAATGTACAGCTGTGGAATCCTAATTTGTCTTGGTTAATGAAATGTTATCATTTATCATTGCACTTTCTATTTTTCTGCATTATACAGTACAGCTCAGAGGTACTTAGCTCTAAATTCATGTGAAAAGTGCATTAAAAGAAACCTGCACATGGGTGAAATTTTTTTAAATGCAAACAAAATACACGCAAAAGAAGCTCATCAGTATATATGAAGCAGTCTTTTGTTTTATCCTTTGTTTAACTTTGAATTGTGTGTTACATTTATAACAAAGGAGAGATTCTGATGTTGGTGACATTATGTGGTTTCTTTCCAAAGCATTTGGCATCAGCTCATTTTTTGAATTGGCTTTCCTGCATTGTGAAGGAAAAAAAAACTTTTTGACCTGTTGGGTACCTCTTTAGAAAGCAAACAATATGAGGAAATATCAAGTTCAATAAAGGCATTGTCGTAAAACTTTACAGCTAGCGGCTAGCAGAAAGACTTGAATCATTTGCATTCATTTGTCTGTAAAGTTATGTGAAATTATTTGCAGTTTGCTGGAACAGGAGACATTTTCCTAATGTCTTACCAGAATGATTTTAGGTTACAGCACCTTACTCGACTCTTATCAATTCACATAAGTAAACAAGAATAAGTGTCTGTTAAAATTGTCATGACGATCATCATCACACAATGCTGAGCATGAATAAAAAGTACAAACGAAGCAAAACTGCTCTCATGAAAGCAGTATTTCCTGAAATGTCGCACGTAACATTTGTATTCAGTTCTAATATAACTTATGAACTCAATTGCTACAATGTCTGTAGTATAGAAAACAAGAAGCCATTGGATCTGGAAAAAAAAATAACATTAGAGCTTGTCTACAAGTATTTTCTGACACCCCTATCTAAATGTGAGCTTACTTTGGTGTGACCGTCGAAGGCCAGACACTTGTCTGTGTTCGTGTAAGCCTGATCAGCATAATATGTAGACAAGTCAGTGTAATTTTTTTCCTTGATTGCTTTAAGTTAAATAAATATTTTTTACAACATTCAGTTTTAGCATTTGTTTTCTTCAATTTATTTTGGTTAATGAACCAAAAGTCGAAGAGTCAACAGTAGTGATCTGGAGATAAGGTCTTTGATTACAAGCCGCACATTCAAAAACTGGGTTGATTTGTGCACTAAAGTTCTCTGTGACACAAGCGTCTTGCCAAAACCACCCAAACATGAACTGAATCATAGAAAACAATTAAATAATTTTAACAAAAACTGAGAAATATTTTAGCACCAAATAAAAAGTAGACAAGACGTACGGGCAAAAGCCGATATCCAACTTCTTGATCTGGTCGCATCTTTCAAAGTGATTTCCAATTCTAAAGACAAAGTTATCACGATCTCTGGCTGGAATCAAATTAATTATTTGCATCTTAAAACTTTCAAAAGCCTATTCTACAAAATTCTTGTGGAGTCATGACAAGTTGTTTCAAAGTTTTATCGAAACAGCAGCCATTGTGTCCCTTACATGTTAAGATATACAAATGTTGATTTGATGTTTCAGTTGTGGCATTTTGAGACCGAAAACCTTTGGTTTCAGAAACAATGCAGAACAAAGTAAGCCGACTGTGTTGAATAACAATAGCAAAAGTGTGCTTTAATATGTGCTTTTTTCTGTGAAGAAGGCGAAAAATGTGGGAAGGTTTTAACCTGTGCATTGGCCATCTACCTCTGAGCTGTACTGTACTATAGGCTGTGTTGGTATAATGTTGTTTTTTTGTATCCCCTTAGTTTAACTTTGTTGGAAAGTTGCTTGGTCCAAGAGGTAACACCTTTAAGCGTCTTCAAGCTAGTACTGGCACCAAGATGTCAATTCTGGGCAAAGGTTCTATGAGAGATAAGGAAAAGGTCAGTAGACTAACAGTAGATGTAAGTCTTAATGTTACTTCATTTGATAGGGAAACATTCTTGTACATTCACAGTGGTTTCAACAACTTTATTGTAAGCACTGCCCATGGCGTATTAGGAGGCCTAGCCTGGAAAAGAGGCAGTGAGGCAAAAGCTAAGCACGGGCCTGCTTGTAGGCTAAACAGAGGGCAGTAAGAAGTCTTATGGGCAGCAGTAGACTTCATATAACCAGCCGCTATTGAAACCCCTGCATTCAACAATTACATTGCTTATCATTATGAACTGAAAAACAGATTTCAGACAGATTTTTTGCTAACAACTTGCAGCACCATTCAATGGACTAATTCATGAAATAAACTTGAAATACAAACCAAACAAACCTACTCGTAGCTTTCAAAGGGGTTAAGTTTCTAAAGAAACTGTGATGCTGCATTGGTGGGGATGTCTAACAGGATAATTTGGTTTTATTAACTGAGTTGATAAAGTAAATTAGCCATGGTAAAGAGTGTCTAAGGTGGAGTTTTAAGTGGTAGCCCTTCGGCAGCAGATCAAAACTGGCCACTAAACATTGGTCAAATGCAACTTGATTCTTACAGCCAAAAATAACATGCTAAAACAAATGGACTGGCACAGCACACCTAAGACTTCAAGCATTTGAGAAGCATGCAACTCTCTACTTAGCTCTAACCCTGCTGTTCACATGAGTGATCTAGAAAACATTTCTCCCTATAATATAAATACAATATCAAGTAGACAGGTAATGAGAATAAGGAAAAGCAACAATTAGGGGATTGATAGTTAAGAATTGTATGGCAGACAGTAAGGTGAATTACTAAAGATATGCTTAGAGTGAAAGGATTAATGATGACTTCCCTCACTGTGGACAAGCACACTATGCAAATGACAGTTACCATCTGATTTAAATACAAGACATTTACATTGTACATTTTTATGGTGCAAATTAATTTATGTGACACATTTAAGACAAGAAAACACAATGAAGGATTAAATAAAAGTGATAATGTTCAATACAGGAGGAAGAGCTGAGAAGTTCTGGTGATGCAAAATATGCACACCTTGATGAAGATCTCCATGTGCTTATTGAAGTTGAAGCCCCCCCAGGCCAAGCTCATGCCAGATTAGGCCTAGCTATTGAGGAGATCAAGAAATTTTTGGTACCTGTGAGTATGCTTTTTATTTTATTGTTTTATTCTTAAGGTAGACTCTTCAATCATTCATACATTTTTAGGAAGCTTTTCACAGGATTTTGATTTACTCACTTCATAAATACAGTTGAACCTATAGTAAGAGCCACAGTGTTAATCAGTCACCCTGTATTAAGCAGTTTGAGGTGGAAGTCCTGAAATTTGTTCCCCCATAATTTCTGTAATTTTCACCTCTATTAATTGGTCACAGTCACCCTTTACTGAGTCCCAGTAGCATGTTTTTGTAGTCTTCCACCTGTTTTGGATAGTCACTTAAAGCAGAACTACTCAAACAAAACTGAGAGTAATCTTGTACATAAAATTTAATCCCAAATCAATGTTAGTAGCATTATTGAGATAATTTTTGTATAATAGATGGACTATTACGGCTCAAAATGACATTTCTATCATTCCTTTATAAATACCTTTTTATGTGGAACCTAAATTAAGTGGTCAACCTGTATTGAGCAGTCACCAAGCCATTCTCTGTTGGTGATCTCTAAATACAAGTTTGACTGTATTTATATGCAAAGCCTGCATTTATATACAAAGTTGAAGTGACACTTTTTTGTTCTTCCTGATTCCACAACAGAAAAACATCAAAACATCAATAAATATGCTAAGGAATGCAAAATTACAATTGGTTCTGTATGCAGAGCGGTACACCATAAAAACCTGCAGATAAGCCATACCTTTTCTCCAAGAATCATCACTAGAAATTGGGAGTGTGGCTTATCTGCAGGAACATTTGGTGCTGTGAATGTTGATGCCAATGCCTGTTTTCATGTCCCAATCTAATGCCTGGTTACTAAGCTTTGAATGTTCTGCTCACGTTCTTGTTGTAATGCAAAAATCTATGGAAAAACTGTGTTGAATGAAAAAATTTTTGTCAACAAATACCAGAAAAAGATGAATCATATGTCAAAGTTGGTAGAAACAATGTTGTTTATATTAAAGTAGTAGAATTGTGGGTAAGACTTTGAAGTATTTTCCATTGCGATGTTAACAGTGAGTTTACGTTTGATGAACAGTGGATGAAGGAGACTTCTCAAGACTTGACTTTGGATTTCTTTTGATTTCTTTCAAAAGACTTCTTTCCCAAAATTTGAGCTGCTAAATTCAGGGTGCAGCTTATCTGTGGGTGCAGCTTATCTGCTGTTTTTACAGTACATTTTTACCAAATGCATAGCTAGGGTACCTCATGATAATGGATACTGGTCTTGTCTTGTTGTCCTGTGCACAGCTGTAGCTCTGTGTTTCCGTACAATTTTTTTTTACTTTGCCAATTCATTTGTCAATTTGCACATAAACAGTTGATTTCAGTTGAGTCAGATTACTTCCAGTATGCAGTATGCAGACCTTTTAAATTTTAAATCTTGCTGTTGCAGTTTGAAACCTTCAAAACAAATCTTAATTTGGACCACTTTTTTTAATTACTTTGTAGGAAAATAATGATGAAATCCATCAGGAACAGATGAGAGAAATGGCAATACTTAATGGCATGGAGGAACCAGTTCCTGCTGCTGCTCCAGTTGCAGTTCCTGCACCTGTTCCTAGGGGACGTCCTCACCCTAGAGGAGTTCCACATCACTTACACCACCCAGCTCATCATGGACGAGGAACCCCAGTTCCACGCACAACTGCCATTGCAAGACCTAGAGGACCCACTGTAGGACATGTGACTGTATCTGCAGCAGCACGCTCTGCAGCTGGACTAGGTCCGTCATCACCAACCGTAGCTCATGCTGCACCAAGAGCAGCCGCAGTCCCAGGGGATCCATATGGAGTAAGTGAACATACAGAAAATTTGTTTTCTCAGGACCTGGAATAAAGTAATAACTAAAATAACTGTAGGAGAAGTAGGATTAACCTTAACTGAAACATTTTCATGGCATTTTAGGCTAAGCCTGTATGTAGTAAACAAAGCAGCAGAAGAGGATTGCATTCTCTTCAGGGGGTAGCAAGATCACGAAAGAACGTGCGAACAGATTGAATGAGGGTGGAATTAGGCAACTCCTGTTTTTCCTTAATCATCACAATCCTGTCATAAAATTTAAAATTGAGTTAAAAAAGGGAAATTAAATGTTGTAAATGCAGTGCTGTGGCACCCTAATTTGTAATATTAACCATGTTAAGCCATGTTAAACCAAAATAGACTACTTTTGATGTAATGACATGTAATTTTTTTGATGTACACCACAGTTTATTTCATGAAAGCCCTTTTTAAAAGTTTTGTTTTGAACTGCACTTAAACTGTTTACTTGAAATACATTTACTTGTGCACTTAAATCTGCTAGGCAGTGCACACACTTCCTGCATCGGTTGGGGTACAACTGCTGACTACTGGAGAACAAGTGATTGTAAGTGCTCATAAGTAAAGGAGCCTCCATTAAAAAAATGTGATAATTGGTTAAATCAACACAGCTATTACTGTAGTTTCAGTGTGAAATGTAGTGTGATTGTTTGGTTGAGGGGAGTTCTGTAAAGGGCCCTATGGGTACTCCATGGAGTAAAAGTCCGCTCATCTCATTTCAATAGCATGGAGCAGCTGGACTATTCCCATTT